TCTCTCTCTCTCTCTCTCTCTCTCTCTCTCTCGCTCTCTCTCCCTCTCATCTCTAGCTCTCACACACACCTCTATGCATGAAGGGGCACACCTTCCCCTCAATGGATAGTTTTCTGTTACAAAGTGACTTTACTCTAGCAATGTACCTCTTAATAAAAACCTATCCGGTGTGAAAAAATAGTATAGTGCTTTATAAAATGCACAGAGATCTATTCAGTTCGTTTGTCCGATCAGCTCCTTTTTGGATCCCTCCCTCTTGCCTTCTCACCTATGGGAAGGTGACTGACAGTCCTTCTGAATGAAAACGAACTCTCTCCCTTTAGAACCCCGAGTTTCTCTCATTAGGGGTCCTTCTCAGTTTGTCCCCCGACTAGAGAAGCTGTGCGGACACCACTAAGAAAGTGCGGTCCACTAAGAAAGTGTCACGTCAGAAATGTATGTGGACACTCCCTGGGCCCGGGTCCCCGCTGCGCACACCCGGGAGTGGGACTCTGCGTGCAGCCCCGCCGCGGTGGCCCTGTCCAGGGTCTCCCAGCTCACACGATTGGGGCGTGCACAGTTCGTGGCCATCTCCCGCCAGGTCCCTGCGGGTTCCAACCTCACCCTTCTTCCCTCCCCTCCCCCCTTCCTCTCCCCCTTCCTCTCTCCCTTCCTCTCCCCCTTCCTCCCCCCTCCTTTCTCTGGCTCTTGCAGCACTGGCCCGGGCCCGGGAGCCAGGAGGCGGGTCTCGGGCAAAAGATATAAGCGGCCCCGGGTCGCTGTCTAGATGCCAGTTGCGGAGTCTCCATCTAGAAGAGCTGTGGCTGCGGAGGAGGACGCCGAGGACAGCCGGACCGACAGACGCATTGACCACTAGTGTCGCCAGCTCGCGCTGCCTCCTCCTCCGACTGTGCCACTAAGGTGAGTCCCGCCGGGGCGCGGGGTCCCGGGCCTGCCCCACGAGATCTGAGGGAGGGGTGTCGGAAAGTTGGAGCCGTCCTTCAGTGGCTAAAGGTCCCCCTCTCCTGCTCCGCTCCTCCTGCAGGTCACCCCCCCCACCCCCCGACCCCGAGAACCCAGGGCTGAGATGGAAACCGTCCAGGAGCTCATTCCTCTGGCCAAGGAGATAATGGCCCAGAAGCCCAAGGGGAAGCTGGTGAAGCTGTACGTGCTGGGCAGCGTGCTGGCCCTCTTCGGGGTGGTGCTCGGTCTGGTGGAGACTGTGTGCAGCCCCTTCACCGCCGCTAGCCGTCTGCGGGACAAGGAGGCAGCCGTGGCCGAGCTGCAGGGCTCTCTGGAGCAGCAGGCCCTCCGCACGCAGGCCCTGCAGGAGAAAGGCAAGCAGCAGGACACTGAGCTCCATGGCCGGGCCCTGTCCCATCGGCAGCACGCCTCCTAGGAACCTCGGGGACCTGATGAGCGAGAGGGGAAGAGACCGAGACTGGGCCAGAGAGAGAACAGAGATCCTAACTCAGGAGGGAGAACGCAGAAGCCTTGTGCTTTTTCCAAAGAAGCCACCCACATGTAGAACTGACCTACCCAGGGAGCCACCAAAAGGGGTTTGGAGTTGAATCTTGCTGCTGTGCAGCACTGCCATTGTGATGCTATGTCCAAAACTGTATCTTTAAGCTGTCTGAGAATCTATCATTTTGCACTAGGGAGGAAGGAGAAACACTTTTTATACTATTATTATTGTTATTATAATAATGATGATGACTACCATTTTGCATTTTGAAATAAAAAACGTTTTATACAATATCTTGTACCTAATTCCTGGGAGCCATGGTGACCTGGATGGACAGCAGGGAGGGGGGCATGCCAATGATGGGTCTCGTCTGAGCACAGCTTCAGACTCTGATACTGCTATTACTTACAAGTTTATCAGGGATTCCTTTTTTCTTCATGTTAGGGATAGGAAGAGAAATTTTTCTAATACCCACCAGTCTTAGCATTTTAAGATCACAAAATAAATCAAGGTCTGACCTAGAGATAAATGGGACATAACTGATGAATTCTAAGGGGGAAAAGAAAGGTTTTTTTAAAAAGATGTTTATATTTGTATGAGGAAGGGAGAGAAATCAAAAGAGAGGGAAGGAGGAAGAGAGAAAGAGAAAGAAAACTAGCTACTTGGTGAGGTAAGAGTTAAGCTCCCAAGAACACAAGACATCTGCTTAATCAGATGAACAGTCTAACTGCACCTCCTTCCTCCTCAGAAACTCAGATTCTGGTAGAAGTTCTAGATTAGAAAGAGAAAAGACTGTCTATTACAGACCTGAGTTCTCTTCGTCAGGGACAGAGCTCACACTGTAGTAATAACTAATTCGGTTGCTTAATAGGACTCAGCAAAGTGATCAGCCAGGGGCCAGAGGCATGATGCCACGCTCCTCAGATTTTTAATGTCACCTATCTTAACCAGGTTCAGGCACTTTACTCCGCCATCAACAGCTGTGTATTTTTGCCAAAACCTAACAATGGTTCATGCCATTCTCATTGGTCAGACTCTCCTTCCTAAACCACCTCTTCACACATATCCACACCTTCATTTCATTTATTTCTGTCACCTCAAATCCTACCCAGCATTCCTGGCTCTGATTGATTGCCAGCTCTCCCTGTAATCCACCCTTATCACCCCCAAAGGAAAGAGCAATTAATGAAGGGAAAGAAACCCACTTGGAATTTTAAAGAAAAATAATGTCACTGCCACTATTATGCCTCCTGTTTCCAAAATAGGAAATGCAGCTATATAGAGAGAGAGCATAACCTTAAATGTCCAAAATAGGTCCTATGAGTTCACCCCACCCTATTTTTCCAGATGGCCTTCGAAAATGTCTTTCCTATAATATTTATTATTCCTCTGCCTATTCCTTCATTCAAACATGTCAGAGACTAAAACTCTCATGCCAGGTTTCAGTGCCTCGGTGATCTGCTCCCATCTCCTCTCTCTAGTCTGATTTCTCTGGATGTCCAGCGTGAACCCTCGTATCCTCATCTTCCCGGTTGGTCCTTCACAATTCTCTCCTCCCTGAATGTCTTCCCATCACAATCTGCATATCTTCTGAAGCCACATATCTCAAATTCTCCAAGACAGGAAGGATTACAAATATTCTGCCCACCGTCAAACTATCTATCAAGTTACCAGCTCTGATTTCTGCTGTATAAGATATATTTGGAGGGGGTTATACATAAAAATATAGATGCTTAAATATTTAGATAATGTTTATTTTGTTTAGAAAGTAGTACCCCATATCTATCCACATTCACACTACCCAACCCAATTGAGTCTGAACTATTGACATTTTCTCTGTCTTTACTGTTCTCTCATTTCTCTGAATTCTTAAATAGTCTAGGTTTCATACTGGATCACTCAGTAGTGGACTTTTTTCCCCCGGTTATTTTGTGGAATTAGTCATGTCTGTTGTAGTATAGTCTCCCTGAGGTCAAGAGCCATGTCTTCTTTAATGTTCCCAAAAATCATCAAGGTCTACACAAATGGTAGGCTCTTAATAAATAATTATGGGCTACGGGTGTTGTCAAGGCCATAGAGGGCCTGCCTACCAAGTGCAAAGTCTTAAATTCAAATATCAATACTGCCAAAAAATAATAAAATAAATAATTGATTGCTAACTAACCCATTTATGAAGTTAGAGCAGTGATTGTACACAGGAGGGAAAGCAGTTTTGTCTCCACAGAGAATATATGACAATGTCTGGGGACATAGGTGGTTATTGGTGGGAGGAGGGGTACTACTGCTGGCATCCCAGTGGAAGCCAGGGTTGCTGGCAAACATCTTACAGTGCAAAGGACAGACCCCCATGACAAAGAACTCCCCAATCCAAAATGGCAACAGGACTACAGTTGAGAAACTTAAAGGAAAGTAAGGAAAAAGGGGTTGCCTAATAGTTTCAGAATCAAAGTTTTAAGATAGTTTCACAAGATGCTGCCTGGGAATGATCAAACATAATAAATTCTGTGCACTGAAGAAAACCAACTGAAACTGAATAGGGAAGAAGATACAGTATGGAATTTAGGTGTAAAAATCAATTACATGACCCCAGAATTAGGAAGGCTTATTCTGCAGCCTTTTTTTGTGAAAAACACAGGGATTTTCAATGATTGCAAACTCAATATATGCCAACAAGGGCTTATGATCAGGCTGCTGAAACAAATTAATGCTTTTAGGACAAGAAGAATGTCCAGAAAAAAGGGATAGTAGGTTGAAAAACAAAGAAGTTAAGTCAGACTCACCTCAATTTATTTGGATTTGACTCCCCAATTTGCTAACTCTAAAATATAGGACAAGTTTCTAACCTTTGCCTCAAATTATTTACATTCTTTCCTCACCTATAAAATAGTGCTTTTATCAGGGAATCATTTTACAAATTAAATGAGATGATACATGTAAAGTTCTTGGAGCAGTACCTGCCTTTCAGTCAATGTTAACATTTTAAGACATTCTTGATTAAGTTTATGTCTAACGTTTTCCTCTTGAAAATACCTTAACTTCTTGGTTGAAACTGATAGTTCTCAAACTTGATCATAATTAAATAGCTATTTATCATTTTGCTCTTTATAAAACTATGATCTATTAATCTTAAATATATAATTTTGTGCTATATCCGATCTTACACTAGTTATATAGTTATTTGTTTTTGTGGTGTGGGTGATCAAACCCAAGGTCTCCAGCATGCTAGACAATTAAGTGCTCCATCACAGAGTTATATCCCCAGCCCTCTTCTACTAGGTTCTAATGAAAACAAATAGCAGAGCTGGGTGTGATGGATCATGTCTATATTGCAGCTACTCAGGAGGCAGAGGCAGGAAGATCTGGAGTCCAGGCCAGCCTGGGCAAACTTGTCCAGACCTTATCACAGAAACAAAAGAAGTGCTTTGTAGAGCACTTGTCTAGCATGCCCAAGGCCCTGGGTTCAATCTCTACTACCGGGGAAAAAAAAAAAAAACAAGGCATCAACTGTGAGAATATTTAAAAGTTTCCACATTCTTAAGATAAGTTTGATTGTACTACAGTTATGGTAACCAAAACCAAGTTAAAACTCATTGCCTCAATCAATAACAAGCCATTTGTAAACAGGCTTTTACAAGCTCATTGATAGGTCCTCATTCGAGAATCAACCTGTCAGGAATAGACGGACTACGTTAAATGTATCTTAGAATGTCAGCAAATCAACAAGAAGTCATGCTTCTGTAGGTAATGTCAATCCACTTATGCCAGGAGCTCACCACTCCCTGGGCTCCAGGCTTCCCAAAGCTCTATGGTGTGCAAGATCAGCCAGCTGCTCTGCTCAGAGGTCGAGCACTGGAGCTTACCCTCACTGTCACGAGCAGTAAGTTCACTAGTGTTTTACTTTATTTCAGACATTAAGTGGTGGTCTCATCACTCTTCAATTCTGAAAAGTCTACGCCATTTTTTTTCTCTGGTTTTTGAGACAGGGTCTGGTTATGGAGCTCAGGCTTAAGATCCTCCTGCCTCAGGCGCCCAAGTGCTGGGATTACAAGTATACCATGCCCACATTTACCCACTGTCTTAGACCTTTACTTGGCAGTATTCCAGAGGCCCTGGGCCAACCAGTTTTCCTTCTGGGCTCCTTGTGCTCAAATTCCATTTGTCTTCAGATCTACTGCTGGGTGACTAACTCTCAACAATAATCTGAACTCTGACTAGTTTCATTGTCTACTCATTGCATCTATGATTTGTTAACAAGAAGGTCTTTGTAGAAGATCATATGAGCCAGTTTTTTTATATAAAGTAATTAGAAATTTTAGTTTATGGGTGAGATTGTTTGTAAACAAGTATAGCTAGACCTTTGCATAAAGTCATTAAGTATTTTGTTTGGGAGGTATTACACTGAGTAATTAGACATAAATCTTTACATACGATCATTTGATATTTTGTGGGGGAAGTAGATCACTAACTACTTCAACACAGGCCTTTGTATATGTTCATTAGACCTTTTGTTTTGGAGGCATAACATTTTTTTTGAGACACAGTCTTTCTATTTAGCACAAACTCACTATGACATCTGGGCTGACCTTAAATTTGAGATCTTTCTGCTTTAGCCTCCTGAGTGCCTGGCTTACAGGTGTGATCCAGTATGTCCACACCTGAGACATACCATTTGATTACTATTTTTATCAGAATCTATTTATTCTCCTGCTGCTCACTTTGCTTTTGTTTGTTTATATTATAAAGTCTTGTTTTAAGTGTTTTTGTTGTGTTTTGGATTGTATTATTTTATGTGTTTTTGTTTTCTTCCTGGCTGACTTATTTCTGATATAAGAATAAGGGAGCATTTGATAGAGAAAAGATGGAGATATAGACCTACTGAATTGCCAATCCAACCCAAACTGGTCCTTCAGGACAACAGCCAGAGGTCCAGTAGACTGGTGACCAATTAAAGAAAAAGCAATTTCAAACTCAATTTTGGGTCCCCTACAAAACTTTCATGAGCTCACTCTCTGTCTTGTCAATGTATGAAAGGTCACTCTTAGTTTGTATTCCAGAGTCACTGATTTTGGGGCCCTTTACTATACTTTGCTTAGGAAGGGAACCCAAAATCCTATCCACAGACACACACACTCTATCCAGAGGCTTCTCTTGTCTTTCTTGGTTTCTTCTGTGTCAAAAGTGTACCTCCCCTGCTTCCCATATAAAGTGACACTGTGGCCCAAACTCTTGCACTTACTTTGTTAAATACAAAACATTTTAATCAGAATAGTAA